CCTCACCTCCCCTAAACTTGCGAATTTTCTTCATTCCTGCTTTCTGATAAATAAATGTTTTAGTGACAACCTTCGTCCCCATCCTGGGACTGGGAGAAGTTGTAATGTTTAAAGAACTTGAATGGGAGAGGAGAGGCTTAATGTGGGACAAAACCACGATCAATCAAAAAAAATCTATTTATTTCAATACTTCGTGATTTTGTTGCTTTTGTTGAAATTTTCAGTGAAATCCTGATGGAAGCAGATTGAAGATTGTACAGGAGTATCTCAATGTAGAAGATTTGGCAGTGTGTGTATTTACCTGCAGGTGAAGGCAGCAGCCAAACAAACCCCAAAGGATTCAAAACTTTAAAACCAGGTTCATAGACCAGAAAAACCTTTCATACACCCCAAAGAAAATTAAATATTAATCTTGGGCAGTAGATTCTTTCTGTCTGCAACCACGGCCTTGACCAGAGGCCTGTACAAAGAATGTCTTTCCTTACCAATCTCAAAATAATTTCGACATTTTGAGTTTTTAGTGCATCTTTATTTTAACTTCAGATGTACCAGCCATGGCCTGATACTTCTTTTGACAAGTAACTTGAATAATACACCAAAGATTTCATGAATATATGGTGCGAGAGTAGAAAGTGGGTGAACATCTCTCTCTGTCCAACAGCATTTTAGGGGCTCTTTGGTGCTTTCAACAGGTATCATCAGCTTAAGTGAGTATCCAACCTGCCCACTCTCTCTAATATGAGCAGATTACAGCTTTAAATGTAACTTCATTTTAGGAGGAAATGAAACGATTTATATCTGTTATTTCAACAATGATGGCACCCTTAAAAATAGTAGGACAAGCATGTAAAGCGCATGGATACACAGGTGTTTTCCCCACCAAGCATCCCCCACTCCAGCATCCTAAGCTTGAGGTCCTACACCAAAGCTCTGGGATGACTCGGTGGGAAACGCTCCCGAAAACCCCGTCCCCGCTCCCCGAGGGGCGCTGACATTTCCAGTAACCTTTTCTATCCGCGGCAGCGGGCACTGTCCTCGGGCTGAGCATCCCCCGCCCGCTCCGAGGGAGCGGGGTAGAACCAGCCGGGGGAGGACAGGGAGCCTCCTGCTCTCTCCAGCCCCTCCCGGCCCGCAGCGCTCCACGGCACCAGCCCGAGACCCATCCAGGGCCGCAAAATCCCGGCTGGTTTCCCAGATATCCGCCCCAGGGACCGCCTGCGCTCCGGTTCTCCCGGTCAGCATCCCTTAATGAACTCCCACATCTCTGACAATCCTACCGAGACTTAAAAGAGAGGCTTCTCCTTCCCGAGGGTATTTTTTTAATACACTGCTGAACGCCACTCAAGGGCTTTAAAAATGTATTCGCACCTCTGCTGCGTTTGGAAGCTCTGTCTAGATAATCCCCAGTGACTGAGATTCTGGGACCCAGGATAGCTGACAAATGCTGATGCAAAGGTGTATAAATATGTTGCTCAGTGTATTTTTGCTTTAAGGTTCTGAGGAGAGGGGAATATGTCCCATCCTGAGGCCAGAACCCCCGTGTCCGTGCCGGCCGCCGAGATGCTACAGATGTCTGGTCATATTTTTGGTAAATATTTTTTCACGTACAACTTTATTTCTTGTTTTCCAGTGGGTTTGTTTCCGCAGGGTTAACTCATCACGCTACCTGTAACAAGGGTCAAAGCTGTCACCTAAATAAAAGTAGTTATAATTGCCGGCTATTAATGTTACAAGTAGTGTTTCTGTTATATGGGAGGACGGAGGGGCAAAGAAGAAAATGGGGGTAAAGGGCCGAAACGAAGAGGGCACGGCCAAGTGCACTCGCAGGCTCTCCCGCAGCTCTCGTAAGCCACGGGGGCTGAGGCAGGAGCTTGGCACCGCAGGAATCTCGGCTTTTCCGATGCGGCAGCGCGTCCCAGGGGATGGGGTCGCTCCTGGGGTCGCTGCGATCGCTGTGGGTCGCGCTCCGGAGGCAAAGCCCGGCCCGGCCCGGTCCGGCGGTAGAGCTCTTGTGGAGCGGCGGGGAAACTGGGAACCTGTCAGGGCGTCAGCCATGGATAAAATTCCCTGAGAGCTGGGAAAGGGATGGAGGGGCCTCCTTGAAGCTGATCTCTCTCGGCCCTGGTGGCGCAAAGCAAGGAGCCCCAAGAACCTTTCCCAAACAGGGACAATCCAGTCACACCGGACCGTGCCACTTCCCAAAACCAGAACCCACAGTACCCAGCTGGAGAGGGTTCAAAACTACTGAGCTGGGCTGTTTTTCCACCTTGCACGACCCTTCAAATAGTTAACACAAGGTTCCTGGGTCCATTTCGGTGTCGCTATTCTTTCTCTCCCTCTCCCCTCCCAGCAGTGCTGCCAGCGTCACCCCATCCGGGCCGGTTTCTGGGGAACAAAGGCTGGGGACCTGGGGGACAGCCCCTCGCCCCTGCGAGCCGCACTTAATGAGGATTCATTTCTTTAGCCTACAGTCCTGGCTTTCATTACGGAGCCTGTCTCTCTGTGTTCATGATCATTAGGCTGCAGCCCAGTAACTCCCTCGCCAGATCATGTGCATAATTTTTAAAAAAACAGCAAAAAAAAAAAAAAAATACCCCTTCAGTAATATTAGTAATCATCTCCATCATCACAATCATCATCTGGCCGTTCTAAATTAGCTACCCATTAACACAGACTCTCCATCCTTCCTCGTCTCTCCCAGCAGAGGTTTTTCTCCACCAGCCCCGTCCCGGGACGCTGCCGGGGCTCGGCGGCGTGGGCTGGGGCGGCGGGGCAGCTCCTGCCCGCAGGGACGCGCCCGGAGCCGCCGAGGTCGCCGCCCTCTCACCCGCGCACTGGGGAAGCCCGATGCTCATACCGAGGAGGTCTGGAGGCTTTTTAAATTCCTGCCCGAAAAGGTTTTTTGGGATCTTTCGTAGACTTGGTCAAATTATTGTTATTCCCTAAGGGCGAGGACAGTGGTGGGATGGAAGACTGGAAGAGGACTCTCGGCAATATTTCTAAATTATATTTTTCTCTTTAATTTTTTCTCCCCCCTTAGGTTTTCTTTTTTTCCCTAAGCAGATCGGCAAATCAAACCTGGATGAAGGTGAAGCCGAAAAGTCACTCCTTTTATTTTTTTGAGTTTCTGTGGAGTGTCTCTGAACTCGTGAGTTTTGTGTGCGCTTTTATGTCTTCCCAGCTCTGTCGGGTCTTATGAAAATGAGCAGTATTGAAAGCTTTTCCATCCCGCTAGCTGTGAGCCTCACATAAATGATGTAAATGGCTCGAAGGGTTTTTTTCAAGTGAACTGTGTAGATCTGTGAAAATAATATCAGGGTTTTCCGTCAGAATGAGCTTAGCACTGTACTGAGGCGTACCATAATCTGACCCGACACCTCCGACCATCTGCGCTATCTATCTGCCTTCTGATTTACCAAATCTTCACAAGCAAAAGACAAATTGTACTTGATACTAAAGAAAAGACGGCGAGCCTCAGTCCAGCTCCTTTTCTGCAGAGAAATGATTGGAGAAAATGTAAATCTGTTTAATTTCGGTCTACAGGCAACTAGCAAAGGAGCTTTCTTAAAGAAGGGAAGAAAGAAAAACAAAAACAATAGGGAGAAAAAAAAGAATGGGGGGAGGGAAGAGACAATAACAAGATATCAAATTAAGAAGATATTTTTTTGACAAGCATTCTAGAAAAAAAAAATACATTGCAAAGAGCAGAGGGGAGAACATATTGAGTTTAATTCAAAATATATGCTGCCTTTCTGAGCATAGTCCCTAATTCCCGGGAAAAAATTACCACTGAGCAGCTATTTGTAGAATAAAGAGTGGCTTCTTGATCATCCGCCCGTTCTCTACGGAAAATAAATGGTATTCTCGCAGCTCAAAAAGAGATTTCATCCCACCCCGAGATGTCTGGAGTTGCCCCCGCTTTACTCCGATGGGGCGGCCGGGGCTCACCTTGCACCCAGCCCCGCGATCGCTCTCTCAGGACACCGAGGGGGGAAAAAACCCACGGGGAATTATTACTACAGGGTGATCAATATTTCAAAAGATTCCCGAAATCTGCTTTAAGTCGCTTTCCTGACCTACAAATGACTTCTCACTCCTCGCGACTGTTCTCGGCGTCTATTCAGGACCATTCAGCCGAAAACAATAAGGGTTTAAATGTTAAAAAAAAAAAAAATAAATAAACTGCTTTGGTTGAACGGGAAAGGGCGCTGGGCTTTTTGCAGATAATTCCTCGTCTTAACCGAAATGGGAAGGCACCTACAGGGGGAAAGGGGAGAGTTTTTCCCTAAATCTCGGCTGTTCCTGCGGTGCTCCCGCTGCATCCATTGTCAGTTGACACTCCCAGCATCACTGTCACTGTTAGGCAGCCAATTTTTTGTCTGATTTCTCAGCTCTGCCTTATCCCCCTCTCTGCCCGCGGGTGCGCGGAGCTCTGTGCGAGCATCACCGGGCCGGACCCCGCAGATTTACCGGGGAGGATGCGGGGGTCCCGGCCGTCCTATCGCTGGGACCACTCCCTCCAACCTGCAGCCAGCACTCTGAAGAGGGACCCCATTCCCTCCCCTCGGCTCTGCCCTGCCCGGGTCGGCGGGGCAGGGCGGCGGGGTCGCGGTCCCCGGGGAGCGGGGCGGGGAGCGGGGCGGGAAGCGGGGCGGTGCGGGGCCTTCCGCCGTGATTGGCAGCGGCTGACAGTGAGTGGCAGCCCCGCCATGGAAACCCGGGAGCCAATCTGCCGAGCCCGCAGCAAATCAGCCGCTCCCGCAGCAGCGCGGCGGCGGCGGGGAGCTGCGCTTCTGCCTTTTCTGGTTCCCTTTTTTTCTAGCGGTCCCCATCGCCTCTCCGCCCTCCGCCGTCCCTCCCGCGGCAGCTCCGCCGGCACCGGCGGAGGCAGCAGCGGAGCGAGGGGCGGCCCGGGGCCGCTGCCCCTTCCCCGCCGCGGGGCTGTGCGCGGCGGCGGCGGGCATCGCCGCGGGTGCGCCGAGCGCGGAGCGGAGTCCGGCGCCGCCTCCATGTTCCAGCTGCCCATCCTCAATTTCAGCCCGCAGCAGGTGGCCGGGGTATGCGAGACCCTGGAGGAGAGCGGGGACATCGAGCGCCTGGGGCGCTTCCTCTGGTCCCTGCCCGTGGCCCCCGCGGCCTGCGAGGCGCTCAACAAGAACGAGTCGGTGCTGAGAGCCCGGGCCATCGTGGCCTTCCACACGGGGAACTACCGGGAGCTCTACCACATCCTGGAGAACCACAAGTTCACCAAGGAGTCCCACGCCAAACTGCAAGCCCTCTGGCTGGAAGCGCACTACCAGGAGGCGGAGAAGCTGCGGGGCCGACCCCTGGGGCCGGTGGACAAGTACCGGGTGAGGAAGAAGTTCCCTCTGCCGCGCACCATCTGGGACGGCGAGCAGAAGACACATTGCTTCAAGGAGCGGACGAGGCATTTGCTGCGGGAGTGGTACCTGCAGGACCCTTACCCCAACCCCAGCAAAAAGCGGGAACTGGCTCAGGCCACGGGACTTACCCCCACGCAAGTGGGCAACTGGTTCAAAAACCGCAGGCAAAGGGACAGGGCAGCAGCCGCTAAGAACAGGTAAGGTGCTGCCCGTCCCGTCGGGACTCGGGCTCCCCCTTAGCGAGGCTTCGCCCCCGCCCGCCGAGGCCGGAGGCTGCGGGGAGGCGGTGCGAGACGGCCGGCAGAGGATGGGGGAAACGATCCCGGGAGATTTCTCCCCGGGAAATGCAGCGAGATAAAGCAGGAGCAGCGGGAAAACACTAAGGCTTTTTAATTACTTCGATTTAATAGGGAAGGATCCCCGCCCTGGGCTCCCTCCTGGCTGCCCTGTGGGGAAGCGGGACAGGGGGAGAGGGGCCGCCGGCAGCCACCGGCTGGAGCTGGCGGCAGAAGGGCCATGTTCAGGGGCTGAGCGGAAACAAACCCCCTCCAAAGTTTTACCCGGACATATAAATACTGGTTTGAGATATGTCCATCCTGAGAAGAGCCGGCCGTGCCCTCTGCGGGCCCTGCCAAGGCCGCCGTGTCCTATTCCTCCACCGGAGCCATCCGGGAACATTCCTTGGGATACTGTTCTTGTTTCTATTATATATATATAAATATATAATAGAAATACAGCATGAATATATAGATACAATTTTTTAAAATATATGTTACAGAACAAAATCACGGCTCTAAATGAGCAGTGTTATCCCAACGCTAGTGACCCAAGCAGACGCCCCGGCAAGCAGAGGAGGGAGCAGAGTTCCCCCTTTATCTCCTGTCCAGAATCCCGGGGTGGGGAAAACTCCCCTTGTCACCTCTCAGCCGGGCTGTCGTACCTCGGGGACGTGGGTACTGTCACCCGGAGCCCTTTTTTATGGGCTAAGGGAAGATGTAAGGCCTACTGGACGGGAGACGCCGCCCGGGAGCTGCTGCAGGGCATTACTGACCCCTAAGATGAGGCTCGGTTTGGGGGCAGGCTGCGGAGGACGGGGACGACTTTCCCCTGGGTGTGCCAGCCGAGGAGCGGGGCTGACCCTGGGGCGGGCACCCGGTTTTTCAGACTGAGCTGAGGAACCGAGTGCCCACCCAGCTTCTCCTCTCTCGTACCGCTGGTATAAGTGGTGAGAGCCGGAGGTCGGGGGAAGCAGCGTGGGGGTGCCGGTCGGGGGAGCCCCCGGGGGGACCCAGGAGCTGCCGGCGGGTGCGGAGGGCGGGCGGTGATGCTGTGTGTGCCGCTTCCTTGCAGGCTACAGCAGCAGGTCCTAACGCAGGGCTCGGTGCGCTCGCTGCAAGCGGAGGAGGAGAGCGGCGGGGAGGCGGTGGGAGCCGCCTCCAGCCCCGCAGCCAGCCTCTCCAGCAAAGCGGCCACCTCCGCCATCTCCATCACATCCAGCGACAGTGAATGTGACATCTGACACCGCCGCCATGGCAAAGCGGGGCGAGAGGGAGGCCCGGCTCACCGGTGCCTCGGACGCGGCCGGAGCAGCGGGGCTGGCAGTGCCCGGCGCGGGCGCCGATCGCGGGGTACGGGGCGCTCCCCGGCCGCCCGCCCGCGCCTCCCTCCCAGCCCCGCAGCAGACTGCATTAAAAACGTCATTAAAATCGTTGTCGCCTTTATTTCGAAGGATTTGCAGAATTGATGCCTAAAAAGAAATAACTAAAGAAAGTCCAGAAAACGTTAAAAAAAAAAAAAAATCAAGAAACCGAATGCCAAGTTGCAAAATGTCTGAGCCCCTGCCCTTATCCCGCGGGGTTGTTTCATGTTGAAAAGACGCTGTTCTTTTGGTTGGGTTTTGCTTTACTTTAAAGGGTTTTTATATATATATATATATAATGTTTATTTACTTATTTAAGGGATTGCTATGGTAGATTTTTTTCTATTATTATTATTAATTATTATTATTTTTGGCTTGTTCTCTATGTGCACAGGTGACTTGTAGAGCATGTGCAGGACGAAACTGTATGAAGCAGCCTAAAACCATAATAAAATATTTGGTGAACGACCCTCGCATCTGCTTTGAAATGACGGTGTCGGTTTCACGCCCGCCAATTTACCCAGAGCAGATCTCCGAGGCCACGGCTATTTCAGCAGCAGCTCGGCAGGAACCGAATTAGCCGGTCCCCGGGAGCGGGGGTGATGTTTTTGCCAAGCAGGGAGCTGGGAGGAGCCGGGATGAGGCGAGAGGAGCGGGAGTGGGGCTGGCGGGGGATGCGGGTGCCCGAGGAAGGGAAGGAAGGAAGCGGTATCGCCGCAGCTCCTTCTCTCCCAAGGGCTGAAGCTTAGGGGATTATCGGAGGAGAATTTTCTGAGAGGAACGAGGGGAAGAAAAATAAAAAAAAAATATTATGGAGAGGAATGGTTGGGGCACAGCCCCGCCGGGGAAACTAAGCTTCCTCCCTCACCTGGCAAAGGCGAGGAGAAGATGGGGAATTAACAGTTCTCCATGCCAGTGAAAGGCTATAACGGGGGGCTAAATTACCCCAAATCGGGACCTCTGCGATGTGCCTGTGGCTGTCCCCACCATCCGCCTCCCTCGCTTTGTTTTGCGGCGGTTTTGCTGGAGGAGACCAAACGCCAGGTCCAAGGAGCGTGCTAAGCTTTTTTCCCCAGCAGAAGGATTTTATATTATACAATTTGACATTGATCTTTAAATCGCCTGAGCTGTGCTTTTTTTGTCTTCTCGGTCTCATCGCGTTTACTTCCCTGTCCTCAGAGAGATGCCTCCTCGGTAAGCTGATTGCTTGGCTCGATTTATTTAGCAGCCGAAGCCTGGCACTGGGGGAAGCCGGGCAGCGCTGGCAGCGGGAGATGCCCCGGCTCCCGCTCGGCTCCGGCTGCCTGCAAGGGGCAGGGGCATTTCAGCTCCGTGATAGTTTAATTCAGCCCTGCTGCCTTTTATCTGCAGATAAATTCCCGTCTAGGCAGTGACTTCTGCCCCTCTAAGTATGAATTTAAAACCTGAATTCAAGGCGTTTACACCCCCCATGCCTAAAGCTGCGTTCCGTCCCCAAATGCATGCGCCTTGGTTTTCCCTGCACACTATTCCAGGGATGGGGCGGGTAGCAGGAAATTTTTTTACTGTTTTTTCAATTAGTTTACAGGCAGCTCTTTTCCTGGTGGACAGGCAAATAATCTGCATTTTAGGAGTGCGGAAGGGTCGGATGGCAGGGCGGGGAGCGGGGCAGAGTAGGGGTCTCCACCTGAGTTTGGGGTACCCACCTACGGGAAGGTCAGGAGAGCACTTTGCACCCCGAACCCTGAGGTTTGCTGCCTTCTGAACCCCACTGGATTTAAGCCGTGCAAGAAGAGCCCGGCTGTGTTGTTTAAGCGCCAAACGAGGTTGGGGTTTTACCTTGGGTTTGGGGTTCGCTGATGGGCAGAACTTCCCACCCATGAGCTTGTTTTGGGAGCAAAAGCCATGTTCGCCCTCAAAACCGAATCTGCTGAAAATACATAGTGGTCAGGGAATTTTGGGTTTTTTTTTTTTTTTTTCCTGGGAAATCGGTGAATTGGATTCAATTTCTCCATCGTCTTCTGCGGGCACAGTAGCAGCGCTTATTGTGGCGAATTAAAGATATAAAGAGAGCAGAGAGCACATGCGCTCAGCGTCTGGTAACGTGGGATTTCTTTCCAACTCAAAAACACCTGGAATTTGTTCAATAGGCAATGCGGAGATGACATTGTCTCTTTCGACAGAGGATTTGAGTGTCGTGAAGGATGCGGGATCTCCCGAGCGGGCAGCGGAGGGATCCTCCCGCGGGTTTGTGCAGGCAGCAAGAGAAAAACCAACCCCTTCGGAAAGAGTGGCCGGGGCGGGGAAAGGAGCACGGAGCCCCCGTGGGAAGAGCAGCCCCGCTGCCCGGCCTTGCTTTTTGTGGGAGAACGGGAGAACCGAGCGTCTCCCAGCTCCGCTTCTTCCCCGCCGGAGCTCCGCAGGGCCGGGGCTGCGCCCGCGCCTTTACTTCCACCAACAAGACCCAAAATAAAAAAACTCGTTTCCCCACCCCTTCCCCCCGTTAGTTTTTTGTTGTTGTTGGTGGTGTTTTGTTTTTGTTTTTTTTTTTTTTTTTTTTTTGTCTGTTTGTTTTTTGGTTTTTTTGTTTGTTTGTTTGTTTGTTTTTGGGGTTTTTTGTGGTTTTTTTTTCCCCCACCTGTCCTTTCCCTTCTCTTATTGAATGTCCTTCCCCCAGGTTTTTCAGGAATTTTTTTCCCCTAAAGATCAGCCCAAGCGGTCACCCTCCCGAGCCTCTGGTTGTTTTAAAAATAATAATAATTATAAGCCGGTAAGAGTGAAGGTGCTTGTATTTACATTAAACAAAACGCTCCAGAAAGGGTCACTAAAAAGTCTGCCTTGACCCCTCTCTCTCCGGTTTAACAAAGAAGGAAAATATTGTATCAAAAGTGAAGTGAATGGGGAAGGCGGAAAAGAGAAACAGCTTTTCCTCTCTTCAGCTGGGGAGGGGGGAGAAATGTTTGAATGTTTCCGTTTCTTTTGAGAAGCGGGGCAGCCCCGGGCAGGGCTGAATGGGAAAGTCTTGTAAGCGGGCTGGGAGGCTGTCAAACTGCTCCGAGGTAATCACTGCTAATGAAGGGGTCTCCAGCCCTCCCTGGGACAAAGGATGCTTAGGAGAGCTAGCCGGGACTGAATACCTAATAAGTTTGCAAGGGGGAAAAATGAGTGAGCTGTCTGTAAATTGATTTTGCAAGAGGGAAAAAAAAGAAAAAGAAAAAGAAACAAAACCAGGAAAAAAAAAAAAAAAAAAAAAAAACCAGAAAAAAAAAAAAAAAAAAAAACAAAAAAAAAAAAAAAACCTTGCAGCAACAACAACAACAAAAAAGGAAAAAACAAAAGGCTTGCAGGTTGGGGAGCGAGCCTGGCTCTGGTGCAGCTGGGGATGCAGCTGGGGACAGAAGGCCCACTTATCCAGGGAGCATTGTCCCAGTCCCGCACTGCAGAGGAGGACTGCTGCTGCTTGCAGTGGAAACTGCTGTGGAGGGAGGGCTGGGGGATGCAAGAGCCTTGGAAAAGCCACACCGGCCCCTCCAGGCTGGGGGTGCTGCCCCAGGTGCTGCCTGGCCCATGCGGGGCTCCCGGCAGGTCCATCCTCACACTCCAGTCTGCAGAGCCTTGCAGAGCATTCATCCCACCCCCTTCCCACTGCCCAGTCCCACCAAAGGCACTGTTCCCTATTTCTTCTGCCGTATGTCCCTTGTCTGACCAAGGGGTTTTCTTTGCAGAACAGAAAAAGGGGGTGTCTGGAAATCTGTTGAATATCACACCACCAGCAGCACTTCTCTTGCCTGGGGGGCTCCTGTACAAAGGGTCAGCTTTAGCTGGCTGGCCTGGAGCTGGGTGCTGGGAGATGTAGAAAGGGGCTGGGTTCAGGGGGAAACCCCCTTGTGTGACAAGAGGAGCGTGTGTGTGTGTGCCGTAGCTGTGGGAAGCAGGAGAGTGAGCCGCATTTTGGACGTTTCCCGCATCCAATTAAGGGCTTGGGAGGATCAGACTCTCGCAGATCCAGTTACCCCTGGCCACTGCGGGGGTAATACCGTGAGAGAGAGAGAGCGTAACACTGCCCAGCCGTGTCTGCCCCGCCTCCCAGCAGAGCCGGGCACCGGCTCTTCCATCTTTCTGTGATTTCTTTCGTCTCCAGGAGAAGATCCACGTGTGCTTGCTGGAGAGGAGGATGGAGGCGTCAGAGGCCAAAGGGAAAGGGCATTGTGGGGTGCAGGAGCTGCCGAACTTTGATCTGTCCTTTCCCTTGTCTCTTTCCCAAGGCTGCCCTGCAGCCCCAGCACCCCAAAGGAGCCTGAACCCTGGGCTGACCTTGGTGTGCCCCCATGAGGAGGATCCAGAGGGTGAGACCTAGCTGAGGATCCAGGGAAGAAACATTTCCTCTTAGATCCTCCGAGGCTTACAGCACTTTGCACTCTATCAGCATTTATTCTTGGCACCAGGGTGACAGAAAAAGCCCGTGGATGTATGTTCCCTTCTGTCAGGACTGGCTGCAAGACCCCCATCCAAAGGCCAGGAAAAGGCTCTCCTTCCTTCATCACTAGCTGCATCCAATTTGAACTCCCTACAAATTGTAGAAATTCCCCAGAAAGCTCATTTTAACCCCGCTGCCTTCTGATCTGTGACATAGGTCTCTCTGACACACACTTTCCCCCTCAAGAAATATGGTTTGGAAGGAAATTTCTAGCTTCAAATCATGTTAAAGCAAAGTGGGCTCACAAATTCATCATCTCTGCCTCTTCCCAGAGGTGGGAGAGAGGTGCTGTTGCCCCATAATCCTCCACACTTTGTTAATTTTCTCCTTGCACTTAGCTGAGCTGGTGCCATTCCATCCCACTGGAGTCAGCCCAGAGCATCAGCCCTCACCACTGTTTTCACTATTTCTGTCCCAGAACTCC